CCCCCCCCCCCAGTGAGACATTTTATTTTAGGAAAACAAAAGCCACTGTGTACCCATTTCTTACATCACATAATCAAGTCTTCTTCTGTGTGTGTGTGTATTTCAGTAATGACATTTGCTGTGATTGTGATTGTGTATCAGCTGTTTTAGGGAAGAATGTTTTTCCCCCAAGCATCCACAACTGTAATCGTTGACTAGATCTTTCAGAAGGTCTCAAGAGAAGCTGGACGGTGGCAGTGGATTTGAGCTAGCTAATACCTAGGCCTGTCCCTGAGGCTAAGTCTAGGCCTTGGTGAAATAATTCAGTGCAGTGCAGATATTAGGAATGTGAAAGGCTGTCCTTCTGAGGGATGATTTCTCACACTGGGTACCAGTGGCTCACATCTGTAATCCTAGCTCCTCAGGACGCTGAGACCTGAGGATTGTGGCATGCAGTTAGCCCAGACAGACAAATCTGGGAGACTTCTGTCTCCAATTAGCCAGCAAAAGGCCAGAAGTGGAGCTTTGGCTTGAGTGGTAGAAAGCCAGCCTTGAATGAAAAAGGCCAGGGACAGCACCCAGGCTCTGAGGTCAAGCCTTAGTAGGGCACCAAAAAAATTTTTTTTCTCCTTTCAGACCTAAGCATTAGAAAGCCCCCGCCTCGATTCAAGTTGAGATTAGACTAAAGACCTTCCCCCCCACCACACTCCCCAGCTTGCCAGGGAATCTAAGAGGACCCAGAGGCCTTTGAGAAGGTCTCAGATTACCTTATTAGCTAGAGCTAGGTAAGGTAGATTGCATATTGATATTCCAGCTGTCATTCGCTTTAGATTGAAATCTATTTTATTTTGTGCTTTGTCATCATAAAACTGACAGTCTATGTAGGTTTTTCACTAAGTAAATAAGAAATGTGAGATTTATTTTAATAGCTCCAAGGACTATGGCTTTCTGAGGCTGAGACTATTTGTCATAGGAAACGACTTGTTAAAATGTTGGCTGTAGGCAACAGTTTTCAAACTGTGTTAGAAGTTGATTGAAGTGCTGAGCGCTGGTGGCTCACGCCTGTAATCCTAGCTACTCAAGAGGCTGAGATCTGAAAATTATTGTTCAAAGTCAGACTGGGCAGGAAAGTCCGTGAGACTCTTCAGCTAACCACCAGAAGTGGCACTGTGGCTCAAGTGGTAGAGCGCTCACCTGAGCTGAAGAGCTGAGGGACAGCGCCCAGGCCCAGAGTTCAAGTCCCATGACCAACAACAACAAAAAGTTGTTGATTGATGCCTTGACCTTGGATTCTGATCACCTCCCAGATCCACCTCTTGACAGTAAACAGCCCTGCCCAGGACCTCAGAAGTAGGCATGTGGTTACAAGTGTTCACCTATGTATGAAGTTATTATTCAAATAAAGTAAGCAAGTACTGCTAAGAGCTTTCAAATATAGAATTTTATTGCTTACCTTCCACCCTCCTGTGTGTGTGTGTGTGTGTGTGTGTGTGTGTGTGTGTGTAAGTGTAAGAAATTACCTAGTGGTTCTGTCTCATCCCTTCTTTCCTTCCTTTCTTTCTCTTTTCCTTCCTTCTTCCTTTCTTCCATCCATAGCATCCATTCTTTACCCAGATTTCATTTCTGGCACTCCCATCTCCTATAGCTAGATAGCCAGAGTTCATAGCTTTAAGTTTATAATTAAAGTTCTCCCGTGTCCTCTACCCGAAACAGCACCAACAGAACTGCAAGGCCTGGCAGAAAAGATCCATACGTATATCGCCTAGTGATTTTTGTGAATACATGAGGCAGCATGGCTCTGTACCATTTTTAAGTCCAGTTAGAACACTGTTACTGCTCATTAAAGATCTTCTGTATGATGCTGTTTTATGGTTCCATGGCTCATTTTGGCCGCTTAGCTTTTAACAGCATGGTGTGTGGCTGTAGCAGCCGTGTGGGCTTTCATGGCCTTTGGGAACCACCAGGCCCTCGGCGTAATTAATATATCTAAATCCTTTAGGTAATGACAGGAAAATGGTGAGTTTGAGCAGCAGCTTATTAAAATGGCCTACTTAATTTAAGAAAACGATGACATCCATGCCCATTATAACCTGGATGTTGTCCCTGTTGGATTTTATATCTATTCTCTCTCTCTCTTTCTGTCTCCCTCTCTCTTTAAAGAAAAGGAAAAGGAATGGAAGGGCCCATTCTACTTCATCCAAGGTGCTGACCCTCAGTTTGGGCTGATGAAGGCCTGGGCCACCGGAGACTGTGACAGTGGCGGTGACGAGTGGGGACAGGAGATCCGGCTCACCCAGCAGGCCGTGCAGGCCATCAACAAGCTCAACCCCAAGCCCAAGTTCTTTGTTCTGTGCGGCGACCTCATCCATGCTATGCCAGGTAAGCCCGTCCAGGCCGGCCAGGGCCTTTTCTCCTTCAGCCAATCCTGACTGCATGGCCGGAAAACACAGATTTCTCTCCCAGAGATGTCTCTGTGCGGTGCTGGCCTATTCTTCCTCCTCCACGCCGCCGCAGTGTCGTTAAACATCACCAGTTGCACACTCGTTTTATATTTGGAATCAGGTAAGATTAATTACAGCAATTAGAGGAGCGGCACTTCTGATGATGCAAGCTTCATATGAAGAATCAAACAGATCCCCTTGTGTCACCTTCCTGCCTATCTAGGGACCAGTGGGGACTGCTTCCAGACACTGGATCCAGAAGTAGAACTGTCTTCCTTCTCTCATCTTTCCTAATGATTTTATTTTTCCCTGTATTGGTGCTTTTTTAGTTTTTTAGTTGCAAGATAGAAAAATACAACTGAAGCTTGCCTGCCTGCCTGCCTGCCTGCCTGCCTGCCTCCCTCCCTCCCTCCCTCCCTCCCTCCCTCCCATACTGTCTCATGGGACTATAAAGTTCATGGGCAGAAGTCCTGGGTTTCTTAGTCCGTTAACTTGTTCTTTCCCTCCCTCAGCTCTGCTCCCATCTGGGTGGACTTCCTTTGTGCCCAGGCTTTGTAGTGGTGGCTCTTTGGAGCTCTCAGCTTAGGTCCTTTATACAGAAATCCCAGTGGAAACAAAGTGCTCAGTTTGGGGCAGTCCAGTCAGAGTCCCAGACTATACTCATCTGGCTCTGAGTGTGAGGTTCAGCTCTAGTTCAAATGTGTGGTCTGAAGAATGGGTGGTTTCCCTAAGGAAAAGTCAGATGCTGGCAATATACAAACAAATAAGGCCTTCTAGAACAATCTTCCTCCCCAACTGACACCCTTCCTTCTCCCCTAGTCAGGGCTGAGCCCAGTGAGCAGGGATTCCTGCCCAGCAAGGAGGTAGAGCTGGCACCCACAGCCTCCGCCTCTCACCTCTGTGCTGGTCTCTGCTCAGGGGAACAGACATGACCTGGAAACCATGGGGGACAATACAGCTCTGGCTGTGGATTGTTCTTCTGGTGGTACTGGGCTTTGAACTCAGGGTCTCCTACTTGCTAAGGGCCTGTTCTGCTGCTTGAGCCATTGCCCTAAGCCCTTATTGCCTTAGTTATTTACTGACATGAACCACCGTGCTTGGCTTATTTGTTGAGACAGGGACTCATAGCTTTTTTGCCTTGGCTGGGCTCAGACTGGGATCCTCCTGATCTCTGCCTCTCAAGTAGCTGAGACTATAGGATGAGCCACCGTGCTCTGACACGTTTGTTTCAACTGACTTTTTCAGCTCTTCTAGCAGTTGAGGTAGTTTGCAGGAGGCTGAGGTGCTGCAGCCCATGCATCCAGAGCAAAGCTCAGTGAGAAATCTGGAGGCTGGGAAAGGAGCATTTGTGCATGCTCTGAAGTTGGAAGGACCCCCAGATCCCCCTCATTTTCTGTGTGCCTCTGCCTTACAGCAAGTCATGCACAGAGACATCTCCCCCAGTGGAAGTCAGTAGCACCACCCTGCGGGAGCCCTGACCTGGTGTTGGGCTGCTCGGACCCAGCAGACTGGGCTTCCAGCTGTACTCTGCACTGGTAGACCAGGGGAATGTGGGCAAACCCTGATCTCAAAGTTCCTGTGTGAGCCTAGAAACCATGGAAGCAGCAGGCTCTAAGACCTCGGTCACCTGGGGCAGTGAGGCGGAGCATGACTCTAACCTCTGCAGGGAGATGGTGTCCTGGAAGCTCTGTGTAGCAGCAGGGCACGTGTGTCCTGGGTATTTTGTTTGTTTCTCTGGTTGTGGGGCCTCACGCATGCTAGGTGAGCATCGTAATGTCTGGGCTATGCCAAACCTCCAGGCTTTATGTGTGTAGTTTGCTTTTCAGATAGGATCCCAGGCTGGCTTTTGCTGGGATGACTGGTAGGCATCACCCTCTCTTGCCCCTTGGTTTGTTTTGTAGAGAAGTAAAATAATAGCTGCTGGTGAACTTGGTAGCCAAGGGTGTACAGGGTACCTAGTGTGCCATGTGGAGGTGACCGTGGAGCCTGGGCTTCCACCTGGGTTGACATCGAAGGATTGAGTTTTCAGTCACCAGCCAAAGTGATGTGTTAGTCGACTGAACACCTGGTTTGCAGCTGGGGCCGTCTCTGGGATGGTAGGGCCCTGTGTACTGTGTGCATAGCACGTGATGTCACACAAGACCACAGTGACCCAACTTCCGCTGCCGTTGGCACCCTTGAACCTAAGCTGACAAATGATAGCATTTTTCTTCCCAGTGAATTCTTTTCTTTCAAAGTGGAGTACTCCGAGGCCCACTGGAATTATGTAACATGTTCTTGTAGATGTTTACCAACTTGTTCTGAATTATGGTAATGTATTCAGTTATATTTCAAAATCATATTTAGAATAAAAGCCTTCCGCACAGTTATGCTGCTTCCTAAGCCAACCAGACTGAGCACAAGGAAATGAAAAGGTACAGGTTTTGTGACCAGTGCCACCAGAGAGTCCCAGGACCTCCTGAGTGGGAGCTGGCAGGCTCCAGCATGGCCGTGTTCAGGGTAACAGGAATGGAATCCATAGTCACCTCTCAAGATTCAGCCTGTTTTGTAGGGGTTTAACAGAGCCTTGAGAACTGCTTTGAATATTGTGGTCAGACATTAAACAGAGCATTTTAAATCTAGTTACCATTTTTTAATATGCAATAAGTGGCCTCCCTCCCACTTAGCTCATTTGCAGGACAGACAGTAGAAAAGTAATTATTTGCTTTGACTGTTTTAGCACATTGTTAATTAACCAGTGCACATATTAATAGGCAAATAAAATCAGAAAGCATACTTCTAATACCACCATAAATAATATCTGGGGCCAAGTAGATATTGGTTCAAAATGAAGCAAAAGAGCTTTCGGAGTAGTGTGGGTTTTTTTTTTTAAAGTGAAAGCAATCACATCATGCTTTTCCATTATAAACACCCATCATAGTATCCGTTCATGCGTAGTATTCGTTGAGTGCTCGGTAAGTACCAGTTACGGTGCTGGATGCCTTGGTGATGTCTGTGGGAAGGAGAGGGCAGGTCCTGGTGCCCAAGTCCAAACATGGAGGGGAGGGTCCAAGCCTCAAGGCTGTCTGCTTTGTCTTTATTTTGGACAAAGCCTATTTTGTACTGAAACACATTATCATTCTGTAGATATCCCTGTGTTTTTCTAGGTCTTTCTCTTCCTATACAAAGCTTTCGCTATAGGGTGCGCCATATTCAAAGTACCAAATGAAGATTTGTACATCCATTGATTTTCAATCCTTCACCTCTGAGTCCAGGCTTCCTTTCAAAACTCAGCCCTGCTGACACTGAGCCATCGACCCCCCAAGAGTGGCCCCAGGAGCCTTGTTAGACTCTGGCAATTGCTTGTGCAGCTGACAAATTGGCTGGTGCTGGTCTGATTAGAGGACAAAGGATTTCTGTGAGCCAAACATATGTGTCCGTGCCAGTCTACGAAAAAGTGCCATAACCAAACCAAGCAGTGTCACCAGTGGCTCGGTGCCTCGTTGGGAAGGGTCCTCAGGTAGCTGCTGGGCACTGTCTGTGTCGGCATCTGTGGCAGGACTTAGCTCAGGAACTCCCCTGCTCTGCGCTAAGAAGGCAAGCCTGCCCTCGCGTCTATCATTCCAGCAGATGTACATTCCTTTGCTGTAGCTGCTGGGGTGGCTCAAAGCCTCGCCCCCATTCCCTGGCAGTCCTGAATCTGCAGGGCTGTGTTCCTTCTCCAGGCTCTGGCACCAGAGGGACACCTGTGCTCCTTGGCTCCTGGACCTCCATCTCCAAGCCAGCAGCTTCGTGTCTTCTCTCCTCTCTGTCCCACTTTGCCCTCTTGTACATCCCCTTGTGATAGCACTTGGTCCACCCAGTAACCTGGGAGGCCTTCTCCTCTCAGTGTCCCCATCCCACTGTAATACAGCTCGGTCGCAGTTTCTGGGGATCACGGTGTGGGCATCCTGGAGGGGTCGCTCCTCTGCCCAGCACAGGTGGTCAGAGATAGATGGAACTGAGGGTCTGTTACCTGGCAGGGTCTGTGCTGGTTGCTGATCTACTCAGGACATCTTTGGAAAGATGCTATTGACATTTCATTTTAACTGATGGGGAAGAGAAGTACCTTTCCCAACGCACACAACCATATGTGGTAGAGTAAAGATCATCATCCACTCCCCCCTGCAGTCTCGCTGTTCTAACAGTGACTCCAAAGCAGTAGCCAGAGCTCCTCAGGATCACTGAATCTCAAACTTCCAAACTAGCAGGACAGAGGGAGCATCTTTTTAGAACCCTCGGGCGACTTGATGAACACGTAAGCTTTAAGAAGCCTTTAGCCACGCTAAACACTGTGGTGTACATCTGAAATCCTAGCTACTCAGGAAGCTGAGATTTGAGGACCATGGTTCAAAGCCAGCCTCAGCAGAAATGTCTGTGAGACTCTTAATGTCCATTTAACTACCAAAAAGCCAGAAGTGGGGCTATGACTCAAGTTGTAGAGAGCCACCCTTGAGTAAAAAAGCTAAAGGATAGCACCCAGGCCCTGAGTTCAAGCCCCAGTGCTGACACAAAATTTTTTAAAAGCCTATAGCAGACTAAATTGACAGGACTCTATTTTCTGCTTTTCAGTGTACTTACTAATTACTATGTGTATGCCAAAATCCACCTTAAATATGAATGAGAATAGCAGTTAGCAAGAGAACCATCATACCTTTTATGTTTATGCTCAGTGTTCAAAGGACACACTTATAAGTCTGTGGTTTTTGTTTTGCTTCCTAAACAGTTTGTGAGTAAAGCAGAATGCCCCCTGTAGAATACGCCCGCCCCAGACAGCGCGACGCACACAGAGTGCAGAGTTAAAGTCTTGGCCTACAGGATGCTCAGGGCAGCCAAACTGGGTTTTTGATTTGGGTCATTCCTTATCTACCATTCCAAAATTCCAAAAGGTTTGAAAATTTGATTTTTTCCCCCTTAAAT